AATTGTTCCAAATAGACTTAACAAAACATGTCCATCAATAGTATTTTGTCTATAAGTAGAAAAGAAAAATTTTTATTTTTCCAAACTTATTGATTTTGCAAGGCATGTTTTTCACAGATACAGCTATCAAGTAACATAATCTTTTTTACCAATTGATAGTTCATTCACTTCTCTCCAACTAATATAAAGTTAGTTGTCAATCAAATATATCGTTTTGTTTTTAAACATTATTTCCTCCAATGTCCACGACTGTGGACATTTGGGCTTATGAGTAAAGGATAAATGTTCCAGTGAATAATAATGATACGAATAAAAATACTAGAGAGAGACATAATCAATATAATATCACAAAATAGTCAATGTGGAATTTGTGAAGAATCATAGCCAGGTATGAATCACCTTTCAGTTCCCTTATCTTTTTCTGTTGCAATCGAATTAATGCTAGACCTCGGCAATCATGACTATGCTGGGATATATGGCACAGGAGCTAATGATTATAATTATGAATTAGATGAATATGACTGCTAATCATTTAAATTATTTTGAATTTTACATATTTTCACCTTGTCTTGAACACTTTCATCGTTGACAACATCATTTAACACAATGATGTCTTGATAGATATCTTGGACTGTGTGATTGGAATTCTAATGAGGCTGATTTTCAATAGAATATGTCTAATGAAAATAAATTTTGTTTCTATGCACTTGCTCCATGACCTCGAGATATTATTTCATATAAACATTGTGTTTTTCAACGAAAATATCATGCAGAAAATATGTGAGTAAAAAAATTATATAAAAAGAATATGTTTAATTTTGTAAATCAATAAAAAAAAAAAATTTATAGTTCTACTGATATCAACATTATTCAACGAGCACAAAAATAAATAATGATGAAAATACAGAAATAAAAAATAAGGTTGACCAGAAAAAAAATTAATGTTTTCTTTTCATTCCATTTCTATGCATTTTTATTTCTTCTATTTTTACTTTTTAAATTTTCATTACAACTATTAAGCTTAAAAATCGATTTCTTTTCAAAAGAAATATGACGAAGTTATTTGCTTTGTCATTATTTAATGAATTATTGCCAGAATTATTTTTTTTGCATCGTCACTCGTGACACAGTAAAATTTTCTGTTCTTTTTCTTCTCTTACCACATCACGTTTCTGTTTTCATTTACACACCATGGCAGATGCAACTGAATTGTCGATAGCTGCAAATTGGATTCGACAATCGTCTTCAATTTTAATTGCTGCAGGTGCAGGCTTATCAGCTTCAGCAGTAAATCCTCAATATGGTGTAGGTCTTGATTATACTTCTGTAGCAGCATTTCGTCGAATATATCCTCGTATGACTCAAGTATCAACAATGCGATGTATGTATGACGCCATTGGAAAGCATGATTGGACTCCAGAATTAATGTGGGGTTATCTTTTTACACATGCTGATAAATGTCGCTTTAATTGGGGATCAACATCTGTCTATCAAGATCTTAAACAAATTTTATTAAATAAACCAATGGATTCATTCGTAATAACGACCAATGCTGATGGTATGTTTGAACAAAATAAGTTTGTAAGTTGTTTTTAATAAAAAAAAATAAAAGTAAAAAATAAAATTTTATCTTTTTGTTTTTTTTTTTTGTATACAGGATATGACACGTTTTCTCAGTACACAAGGTGATTATTCTGTTCTTCAATGTCTCAAACCATGTTCACGTCAATCTGTATACGACGCTCGTCCATATATTGAACGTGGTCTTCCTCATGTTAATCCACAAACAATGGAAGTACCTTCAAAATATATTCCTAAATGTCCTCGTTGTGGTGGACCTATGTTTTTTTGTGTACGTGGTGGTGAATGGTTTATTGAATCTGCGTTTGATGATCAACGACAACGTTATCATGATTTTATTCATCGAGCTATTCATAAAAAAAATGATCTATTTACAATTATTGAAATTGGTGTAGGTTTTAATACTCCAAGTGTACTTCGTTGGCCTATGGATCAATTAGTTAGCGAGTTTCCAAATGTAAGACTTATTCGTATAAATATGCATGCACCTGATGTACCAGTTCACGCACGAAAAGAAAAAAGAGCGATCGGTTTTGATGGAGATGCAGCAAGAGTTATTCGACAACTTAGGGATACAGTTGTAGCATGAAATGCCTGATAAATAATCAAAACTAACAACAAAAGAAATGATTCAGATTTAAAAGATTGATTATCTCTTATGAATGATTTTTTAATAAATATAAAATAAAAATTTATTGAATATTATCATTTCTTGATATACAATTTAATGAACGTATTAAGCGAAATATAACATTGACACGCCAAGATTGACATATATAGTTGTAGACAGATAATTCGGAAAATGATATTACCTTGTCAAAATCAATTGTTTATAAGAAAATCTGTCATAAAATTTTTGATGCCGTTATTGATTACTAAGACATTGTCCAAGAAGACCATATATAAGATTATATAAAAAAATTGCATTCTTTAATTGGTTAAAATTATAGATTCACTTGAAGCTTTCACAACAAAATCTTTTACTACTTTATCAATATTTACTCATTGCCCTTCCACGAACCGTTTGATAACATTTCAGTCGACGCATGTTTCTACGCTCTGTTAAGTTCTTTAGTCGCATAGATTTTAAATGATCATCAGTCATAATCCATAAACTTTCGATGGTGTTGACGACTAGTGATGCAGACGGATAATTCATAAGAGGAATATTGTTTCTTTCGAAACAATCGATAGCAAGTTTTGAGAAATGTGATGAGTCATTGTCTTATATGCACATCAACCAATTATCATTTTGCAAGGCGAATGTGTCTGCAACGATTGAAGATAAAGCATCACCAATGATCTGAGTATAAGCAGGACTGTTTAATCGACCATACTATTACTACCACCACCATTTGACATCCTTGAAACAAAACTAAATGGTTTGTCACTTTCGCTCATTGTTCGTCGAACTTTTGTTCGATTCTTGCAATTAAATAGTTCAAAATCAGCCTCGTCGCTTCAGATGACGTTTTTTCTAGTTATTAGGTAGTCAAATAATATGATTATTCGAAAACTCTAGATGTGCTTTCTTTTGTACAGCGCTAACGAACTGGTAGTCTTTGGCAGTGTAAGTGTTTTACCAACTATTCAATAGCCGATTCCGATAACAGTTGTCGACTACTTTCTGTTCGATCTTTCTTTATACAATTGTAATAGTCGGCAATCATCTTTTAGCGCGGACAAACCTTTTCGACTTTATCCTGTGATATTTTTCAATGATAGATCTATCATAATTTTAAAGTTATAATTTGACTTTTCTTATTTGCCAATACAGAAGCTCATCCGATAGTAGATGAACGTAATAGCAGAAAAGAATAATATTGCAACGCGAAACAGAGAGAGATCACACTATGGTGTCATCTTTCTGAGAAAGTATAGTACTATGGAACATGCAGAGACTACAAAAATTTCAGATGAACCTAAAATTTTGACCATTTCTGTATGTGATAAACAAGAATACGATGAAATATAGATAATATTATTTGAAAAAGTCAAATCAATTTATTTATTAAAAATAGATTTTTAGAACAAGAAAATGTAAATATCATTAATGATGTAAACAGCAGAAATAACTTTGAAATAGATTGTACAAGGACAATGTTCTTTGCTGTATTAAGATAGCAAAGATTGGATTCTATTATCAGCTTGTCTTCTTAGGTCAAGGAACCATAATATTGTTTCTTTATTTTACTATCTTTTGTCTGAGTTGAAGCAACAGGGAAAGAAGAAAGAATGCAAGAAAAAAAAAGAAGTAGAAGCAAAGGAATAAATATTCCCTTGATGGATCTGATTTTCTATTCTCATTGCTCGAGTCAGTTGGAGGTCATCAACTCAGAGATTCCATCCTCTTTATCCCTTATCATTACCTAAGTGCATACATATATATTATTCAGCTCAGATTACGTGAACAATAACAAACGATGTTATAACTACTGCAGGCAAAACTGCTTGTTGCTCATTCATTTAGTTAGCTTATTGTCAAATGATCATCATTCTATGGTGTAGATGCCACGTAGCGATTAAACCGACATAGGTTTTTTTTGACCATATTGAAATAAATCATACTATTTATTATCAATCAGTCTTCGTCATATCACTAAATCAACAATGCCAGCATATGGAATGGACATTGCTCTCAATCGAAAGGTAACCACATGCATGTAACGATATATATATTTGTGATATTTGGACAACAAGCATCTATGCATGGCTTTTTCTCGAGTAATATATGATAACAATTGAACAGAAAAAAACAAGAAAATTGATTGTATTCGCTAGAAAATAAAGACTTTAAACAGTAAAACAGTTTCGTTTGAGTTCTGAAAAAGAATACAAAATATTTAAGCATTAAAAGTGTTATTATTGTTGATATTATTATCATCTATATATGTATACGTATGAATTCGGTATCGTGTTGAATGATGTTATTAATCATCATTGACAAAGATGAATCAGTCTTTTTTTTAGTAATGTTCCTACGCGTTTATTTATCAAAAGTACACAATTATAGATGGCATGCTAGTGTGCGATTAAAAGAAAAATAAGAAATACCATATTACACCCGCCTACATAAAGATGATTAATATCTAAGATAGTTTCTACATGAAGAAATGATTGTTTCTTTCATGTTTGTATTAAGAAAATATTTGTTTACTTCTCTCTATCTATCTGTCGTACAAGTCGTTCTATATCAATCTTTTCTTACAGAAGACGTAAATATCATGATTATTCTATACGCTCATGTGTATATCTGTTGGAGAAAACGTTACTCATTTACTTTTAGCCAATACTTTTTCTTTCTTTTTCTCTTTGAGTACAGTTGTATTCGTATAAATAGATAATCGCATTTTTCGTTATTATTGCTTTTTCTTTAGCAGTGTTTTCTTATTATTGTTGCGCGCATTTAGCTCAAGAACATGTCTCATATTGGACCTGCATATGGATCATTGGCTGCTAATCAAAGAAAGGTGAAATAGACAGATATTTGAATCTTTCTTCTTTGTTAGATATGAGCTAACAACTTGATGAACATATAAAGGAGTAGTACGTTTATCAGTAGTATATGTTGTTTTACATTCTTCTTTCGTATCTCTGTTTATAGACATATATGTTTGCAGGATTTTTCTCACATAGACAATGATAATGATGATGCCAATTTTTTATTAGCTAAAAGAGAAAGTCAATTAATTATGAGCAAGGATAGTTTCCTACTATAGACTAGTAATCTATTATGAGACTCAAATCATATCACGAGAGAGTAAATTATCCTAGAAAGAGTTCCAAGAATATACTTAATAACATCTTTCTAACTATAGTTTTTTTTGTCTTTTTTTGTCCTTGAATGATATCTGTCTCATAACTATCGGCTGTTTAGATTGCAGCAAAACGTGATCCAAACCTTGATCGAGAGGCACAAGAATGGGTTGAAGCCGTAATTGGAGAGAAATTTCCGAGTGATCCTTATGAGGATGCACTCAAAGACGGTGTTATTTTGTGCAAGTATGTTTTCTACGTCATTTCTTGGTTTTCTAATTACAATTCGTGATGTATATTTGAAAAAATAACAATAGATTAATGAACAAACTTCAACCGGGCGCCATTCCGAAATATGCTACGACAGGTGGAGCATTCAAATTACGTGAGAATATCTCACTTTTTCGTGAGTGATAATTTATAAGTTAATTATTAAACAATATTTCTAAATAATCCGAATAGAAAATGCTGCTCGTGCTTATGGTCTAGGCGAAACTGAACTCTTTCAAACTATTGATCTTTTTGAAAAACGTAATATTCCTCAAGTAACTCAGTGTATATTTGCACTTGGTCGAAATGTGAGTGATTTGTTTCTTTTTTGTTGTTGAAATGGTAATATATTTGCATGATATTTTTTTGTATTCAGGCACAGAAAAGAAAATTTAATGGACCGATACTTGGTCCAAAAATGTCTGATGCCAATGTGCGTGATTTTAATGAAGAACAATTACGTGCTGGGCAAAGCACACTCGGTTTACTCAATGAAGGCATGATTAAAGGTGCGAATCAATCTGGCCAAAATTTTGGTCTAACACGTCATATATAAATAATAGAACAATGATAATAAAATAATAATCTAGAAAGGGATTGCTTTTGCAGATGCTTTTTGTAATTCTATTAATAAGTTAATCATTTTTTTTCAAATAAAGCAATATAATAAGTGGCAATAATAAGGACAATTTGAATAAAAATTAAATTTTTCGGTTTTTTTTTTGTTGAAATAATATGATGGAATTGCTGTAGTCATTGAAGTTTACTGCTTTGTTGAATGATAAATACATATGGGCATGCTCAATCATAGGATACTGCAATTCTTATTTGTTTATGCAGCTTCATCCAGATATCAAAAAAAAAAAATGTGATTTTTTTTTTAATAGTTTTAGTACACACAGGATGCTAATGATCTGTTATTGTTTAAAGTGTATGTCACACTAGGATCAAGAGTTATCAAGTATTTCCTTACAAGCATTTTGTTAAAGTACTCTGCATCTAATTTTTTAACATACAACAATTCTTAGAAAATTAAAATAATTTGTCAAATATTTAATCAAGAAATACAGTTAACTTACTATGCTGTATACTTACGAATAGTTTTATACTCGAGTTCAGATTATAGAAAGGAGAAAGAACATGTGTGATGTTATAAATCTTATTAAGGTCGAATTGGGTGTTGTTCAGGAACTCTTTCGACTACAATATCCATTCTATCAATCAACTAAATTAAAGTCCTGAATCTCATGATAGTCTGGAAATTACTCTCGCATTAAATATACACGTAAAAAAATTCTCAAAATCGGATTTCTATGCAAAATGTTTCCAAGTACGAATTGATAAATGTTAATAGATTAGATGCAGAATGATTATAAGGAAACATTTGATAACTCTCAGTCCTACTGAGAAAGACCTCAAATAATAACACATCATTAATATCCTATGTATATTAAATCTATTTAAAAAATCACATTTTTCTGACATCTAGTTAAAGCTACATAAACAAATACATATTCGGATATCCTATGATTGAACAGCTCATAAATATTTATATACATGAATGGTATTGTAGAAGATACATAACTTGATTTGAATAAAATCACTGCTAGAAACAATGATGTTATCTAAACTGTTCTCTGCAACAGAAGACTCGAAGTCTTTGATTACGACATATTTATTTTCATAATCTTTAATAAACTGATTTTTTCAAAAAAATCAAAACTATTTGGAAGATTTTCAAAGTCCAGGAATAATCTTGACCTCATTCTTTTAATATTTTCAACTCGCAAACCTAAAAACTAGATGTATTTTGATGTAAATACACTAATGAAAATTTCATTTTTATTAGAAAATAATTCATTAAAGAGAGTCTTCTATTGCGGAGTACAGTTTAACGAAATTCAATATTTTTTGTTGTTGTCTGACAAATGCCCTGACTTCAATGATCAATCATATTATTTCAAAATGAAAAAATATCACTCAAATTTTCGTTCATATTTCAAAATCAAAAAAAGTAGCATATACTTATTATCTTGATTTCTAATTTTGGTAGACAAGAAAACGCAGAATTTTGTCTATTATAGGTACTCAATCAAAATCTGAAAATAGTACTTCAATACCTAAACATCAATCTCAAGCAGAAAAAGTATTTTTTTATCAATTTTATATCGATCTAGAAATTTTATGTTTTTCAGCCACAAATCCGAGAAACAAATTCAAATCGACTAACTTACACTGAATCTGTAAGAGCATCATCAGAATTGTCAGACAGTTCAATTTTAGTAGATGATCGTCAAAGATCTCGTAGTCGACAACGTCAATCACAACAACGTACATTAAGCAGTTCTTCTGTTGAAAATCTTCTCATCAATCTACAAAATATTCAACTACCATCATCATTGTCATTATCATCATCATATTCACATATCAATGAACAACAAGAAGAAGATGAAAATAGTCTTCAAGTGCTCATTGATCTTGCACGCGATACAGATTCAACACGAATCAATAAACTTAATCTTCTTTATTCATTTGTTGAAGATTCTATTGGAATGGTTGAACTTCGTAGTTTACTTAGCTTTATCAAATCATCGTCTAAAATAAATATTAATGAACCTCCCCTTAATCTTTATTCATCTATTTTACCTACTCTTATTGCTTTAATTTTGCTTGAAAATGATATTTAATCAACACGCATATTATTGTTTTATTTATTCAATAAAAACTTTAATCTTAAAAAATTAATATAATATCACATTTTTCATAGTAAAAAACTATTTAAGATATAATGATAAGTAGACAGATTCACAATATAAAGAGAAAAAGATTTGCTATGTGAATACATCATTTACTCAAATAACAAGAACAAAATCATAAATGTTTTTAATAATTACATTAATGAAATTAGTTCACGTCACTGTTTATGGTAATATTATCTAAGAGTTTCAATGATTGTTACTATTCAAGCTAATGAAATATCACGGTTATAACATACACGAGATTATACAAGTTGCTTAAATAAAGTAATTTTGTTAAGCTGATGATGATTTTTGATTATGTATTGCCTAGCAATATATTACGCTAAGTTTTACTTCAACTCTACTTATAATTTTAACAAGAACTAACCAGATGACGAAAGATATAAGACATAAAATACTTGATAGAATTGATTTGCTTAGAACTGATAAGATAATTCTATCAATATTGCCATTGATACTAGATCTCAGAATTCAATTTTTTGATTTGCAACATTCATTATTTTCAATATTTCATATATATTTCAAAAGATGACACCTTTCAACATGACTTCATCTATCATTTCTAGCCTATATAAAAATGTCTCACTTTGTGTAAACAACTAATCTTATTCTTATCACATTTTTCTTCTCTTCTACGTCATTCTTTTTTTCCCTATGCCTACTATTATATATCATCGTGGCAATATCCAAACAACTATTCAGTGACGCTCGTTGAGGTTACCTCATTAGTTTAATTCTATGATTTCTGTTTAGTGTACACTGAGACTGAAAAACAAGTTATTCCATGGACTTTTCTATGGCTCATTGACTAAGAATTCAGCAAATTTAATAGAAATTTCGACTTGAAATTTTTACTTGTGTCAAACATATGCAAAAATTCACTCGATAGTTCATGTGTAATGATAAAACATCAGCAATAGATGATAATGTTTGTAATCAGTTAGTTATCTATACATATTTTTCTTTATTTTACAAGTGCCTGAATATAAACACATATGAATGATACCTGAATTAGGCTATAATATAATATAAGCCTTAGTTGTTCTATTTCACCCGATAGAAGAAATAAACAAGTGACAAACAGCTACATCCTATTACCAGAAATCATCAAAATTATTATCACTGACATTAGCACACGAACGCATACGACAGTTGTTTTCACAATATTCACCATATTTCTTCTAGCAGCCAACCATGAACTTAGGTTTCTTCTACGATATTGACAATAGTATCACCCTTTCTATCGATCGTAATCACTTGTTTCGTTCTTTTTCCTTCTGCATGCTGGTTTTTTTCTCTTTCTTTTGTTTATCCACCATTCTATCTAATACTTGTCTAGCAATCATACACACATATTGAGATCATTTAGATGTCGGGAAAACGTAATCCAGAACTTGATCGAGAGGCTCAACAATGGATTGAAGCTGTCATCGGAGAAAAATTTCCAAGTGGTTCTTATGAAGATGCATTGAAAGATGGTATCATTTTATGCAAGTATGTTGTTTTATTTTGTTCTTTTTCTAGCATTAGTTCAGAAAAGATCTTTATCTATATATTTTTGTAAACAATAGATTGATCAATAAACTTCAACCTGGTGCTGTTTCTAAGATCTGTACATCAGGTGGAGGATTTAAATTACGTGAAAATGTTTCAGCTTTTCGTAAGTAATAAAATTATTTTTTTTTTACTCCATTGTTGAATAAATCTGGAATAGAAAATGCTGCTCGTGCATATGGTTTGCTTGATGCAGAATTATTTCAAACGGTAGATCTTTTTGAGAAGCGAAATATAGCTCAAGTAACACAATGTATTCATGCTCTTGGTCGACAAGTGAATAATAAAAGTCATTGTTATAATTAATATTTCATATTTTTTTCAGGCACAGAAACAAAATTTTAAGGGACCAACTCTTGGTCCAAAAATGGCTGACAGTAATGTACGTGAATTTACGGAGGAACAATTACGTGCTGGACAAAATATGGTTGGTTTACTCAACGACGGAATGAATAAAGGTGCCAGTCAAGCCGGTCAAAATATTGGTTTATCACGTCACATATAGAGAAAATGAAAGACAAGATTCTTCTTTTTTTTTTTATTCTATAAACATTAATTATTTATTCATTCAACCAGTATTCATAGATACATTTGTATTTCTTTTTGAATAGATTGAAGAGTATGTACTATAGATAACAAAGCTTTTATTAAAAAAAGAATTATAATACATTGGCATGTAATTATTCGCAATAGAACAAATACATTGACTACGAAATAATTCAACAAGGTTTATTTTCTTTTCTAATATGCTAATGTAATTGCTAAAAAAATTCAGATAGTGATTTGAATAGAAAAAACTATATAAAATAAGTATAGAAAAAAATATAAAATCATTATCACATTTCTCAAGTCGAATTTTTAAGACAATCAAAGTGTCAGTTTTCCAGCACCTATAACTCGGAAATATAATTTTATTTAGATAACACGACAAGATGGAGCAAACAATACACTATAAATTTTTTATCGAAAGTAGAGAAAAAAAACCAGTTGCAGACGTTTCTGTGAGATTGCCGTATCTCTGTCAAAAAAAATCACTGTACAAAATTCGGAAATATCTCATTTTGTCAAGAACCATTTGTCCTATCATTGTTTTTAGTTCAAACAAAATAAAATTTGCCCGTTATAGTAGGTGTTGAAAACATGACCATTTGGTTTTACAATATACCTTCAATTTGGAAACCTGCTAATCCTTTTTATTTTTTTAATATTCTTGTTCTATATGTTTTCTTCTATTTGAATGATTATTTGAATTCTTGGTAGCAATAAAGACAGCTGAAAAGAATTGAGAATAAGCCTTGTTGAATAATTCTGACAACTACTTATATTTAGTTATGGAAATCTTTCATCGATGAAATCAGAATTCTAAAAACGTCAAGTATAAATTTATCTCGACATTTTATTAATGACCAGAAGATGAGAGAACTATAATCATTTTGATTTTGATTCAAACAATTTATATTTATATCCTTGTATTAAGCAATCAATTCTTATTCATCTGAAAACTTGAAATTACCATTGCATCTTTTTTCGAAACACCGCTCATAGTTTTTTGTTTATATTTTTCAAAAAAAAAAGGAAAACACAACAAAATTTTCATGTATGTTCTGTTGACAAATAAAAGAAAAACAAAAGCAAATTTTACGAAGTAGGATATTGATAATAAGATGAAGAAAACGAATATGGTGATGAATATCGACTTGCAGCAGCTGCTGCAGCTAATGAAAATGGATTTGTATTAGGAGTTGATGCCATCGGTGTATAAGAAAATGGATAAGTTGGAGTTAATCGAGAATAAGGTGATGTATACAAACTAGGATCATAAAAATGTGATTGAAATTGATTTTCATATAAATCTGTAAATGATGTTGTGGAATCCGGTATATTAGCTGTACTATTTACAGGTGCAATATGTGATGGAGGTATTTGATCATCTTCACCTGAACTTGATTTACGTCGTTTTGATGATTCTGGTGTTGGATATATATTTCCATCATAATCATTGTCAAGACATCGCTTTGTTGATTTTGTTTCTCTACAAATGACAATTATTATACAATATGAAATTGTTATAAAAGTCCTACTTTCGACTAGCATGTCCATTATTTTCACGAAAGCCTTTAGCAAACTATAATATGAGAAAAAAAATAGACAAAAAAATAATAATCAAATTTGTCTCAATTATTCTAGATTTTACTTACTGGATTATGATCAATTTTTAATCGAGTAACCTGATATATGAATTAAAAAAAAAAAATAGTTAAAAACACCGAAAGAAAGATTGTTATTATATTTACATCTTCATTTTGATAAGCTGTTACAGCAATAAATTGAGTTTCGGGAAAGACAAATATATTAACATTATCAAATGGTGCCATTGATAATTTCATATCAGTATTTGATGAATTAAATGCTTGTACAATATGAAGACGAGGAATATATTTATGCATTGAATTAAGTACAATCTAAATTTTTGATTCAATTCAATTTCATTTAAAATAAAAAAACAAAACAAAATTTACATGTCCGTTTTGATCAGCGGTATTATTAGTTAATTTAAGTTTACCAAATGACAATGGTTGTTTCATTAATTGTGCACCAGTTGAATTACTATCCGGATGAGGATAAAACCGACCTGGCACTAATAAAATAACAAGAAAACAAAAATACTCTATTTACTTAACATTAAATCATCAAACATTTAACTTACTATGTGGTTCAGCTGCACCAGTAATTATCCATTGAGAATTATGATATTTATATCGATGATTATCAACAGGTATAACATCCATATAAACAATATACTTACTTGTTGGATCAAGTCCAGTTAATGATACTTTAAATGTTGGAAACATACGTCTAAATATATTCATATAAACATGTTTTACTATTCTATTACGAATAAAAAATAACCAAAACTGAAATCAATTAGTTATTCAACTCATCATGGACGTCAATCGATGAGCAGATGCATCTAACACTTCATAATATAAAAGCACATCTCTCATGAGATTGTGAAAATAAGGTGAGCACAATATTAGTCTATTCAAGTGACAACAACAATTAAAATTTTCTTTTTTTTTACCTTCCACTTTTTGTTATAATCATTTCTAAATTAAGTTCAGCAAAACGTTTCCATAAATCCATATTTTCAAGTTTAACATCAATATTTGGATCAGAACGTTTTGTTGTATGAACAAATGTGTAAGATGTTCGTGTTGTATCTATTAAATGAATAAGAGTGGTTTCAATAAAAATGAAAATTTTGTTTTTCTATCTTCTTAAATATTTACCAGTAAATGGAGACATTTCATCATAAAAACTAAAACCAAATCCATATGCTGATGTTGATGGATAACCATAAACAAATGGTACTTGTGATTGGTGATGTTGTGAATGTGTATATGAAATACGTGAGGAATTCAGAAGTCCATTATTCTCATCTTCATTTGGATATAATGATTTATTTCCTTCATCTGAAGATGATGAACAGATGGCAAGTGCCGAATCAGATGATGATAGTTGTGTTTGTATTGATGGTGTCAGGTAGGATAACATGTGTGACGTAATTCGATTGATTTGTGTTTCTATCTATATATTCAAGTTAAATATAATTGACATCAGCAAAAAGAGACAAACAGACAGAGGGAGAAAGAGAAACGAGAGAGAAAAAAAATATTTATGTCTATTTTTCTGTCCAATCAATGCATTCATCCAATAAAATTTTCTTCTTTGAAGGTAGTGAATATTGTCTTTTTCTTCTTCTTCTTCTTCTTCAATAAACATTTAGACCATTTATATTTATTGCAATTGCAACTATTACTACTCTATAAGCATACGTTTTGTTTTTTTTTATGATGTGTGACTATAATCGTTTATGAATAGAGAGGGAGAGAAAGACAGAAAGAGAATCATTGAAAAAATTTCAATATTGTTTTGTGATGATGTGATCAATACTCAAGAGAATTTATATATATATATCTAACTAGTGTGAAAATCCCATTTGAAATATTAAATTAACTATTCATTTTTGTTATATATGCTTTAACAAGTTTAGTTAGTTTTTTTTCGAAGTCTAATAATCATTTTATTTTAAATATAGATCTGTACAAGAAAATTCTGTTTTTTTTTTTTCTATATCAAAAAAATGGTGTATTATAATTATTTGTTGAATAAACTGAAGTTGGATAATATCCATAGGAAGAAAAATTCATTGACGATCCAGATGTTGAACTCATATAAGAATATGTTGGATTGTATAACATAGATGACGATTCATTTGCATAAGGATTGTATGGAAATTGATGATGATATATTGAAGGAAAATTCAAAGTTGTTGTATCACTGTTTTGTTCTTGATCACTAATACTATTATTGATATATGTTGTTGATGTTGTCGAATCAGCAACAGTAGTTCGTAATGGTGGTGAATATGAATTTGATGATAATAATGAGGAATCATTTTTACATAAACGTTGCTGTTTTTCATCATATTTTGTTGATTTATTTATTGAACAAGTTGATTGAAGACGTTTGAGAGATTTAGAATTATTTCTAGAATATAATAAATAGTGAAAAATTTTTTTATATAGTGATTTTGAAAATTGTTATTTACTTTTTTCCATATGTTGGTTCACGAAAACCTTTTGCAAATGGATTATTATCTATTTTTAAGTTTTTTATCTAAATAAACAAATTTAATATGTAAGTTTTTCAATTAAATTTATGTATCAATGAACCTGATCATTTTGATAAGCAGTGACAGCAATAAAAATAGTTTCATCGAAAATAAATGTACTTAAAGGACCTGTTTGTATTGAATAATCATCTGATGCTTGAACAATATGTAAACGTAAGATATATCGATGCATTGAATTAAGAAGAATCTTCAGAAAAAAAAAATCATTTAAAAAATTTCTAAATTAAGATTACAAAAATTATTACTTGATTAGAATTTTGCATTGGATTATTTGTTATTTTAACTTTATTAAAAAGTATAGATTGTTTCATCCATTGTGCACCAGTTTGTGGACTATCAGGATGAATATAATAACTAAAGAAAAAAAAAACAAAAATATTTAATTTTAAATGATAATGAATGTATTTGGAGATTTTCTTACCGTCCATAAATATGAGGTTCGGCTTTGCCTGATATAACCCATGCAGATTCTTGATATTTATATCGATTATCGTCAACAGGAACAATATCTAGTAGAAACATATATTTAATATTTGGATCAAGTTCACTAACAGAAACACGAAAATTTGGAAATAATCGACGACCATTTCTAATAGAAGAAATAAAAGAGAAAAAAAAAATAGTATTAATCATAGTTTTAACATACTTAGTTATAATCATTTCAGTTCCTAGTGAATAAAAACGTTTCCATAAATCTATTCCTTCAAGTTTAACAGATATTTTTGGATCAAGTCGTTCTCGTTTCATTTCTAAAAATGAATAAAAATTCATTTTTGAAATTATTCAAATAATTATTACTATTATTATTACCAGTACAACCAAAATAATTAACTTGATCATTATGTGTATTTGTTGTTGGATAGAATGAATTATACATATTAGCTGCAGCAGTAAATGCAGCCATTGAAGCATAAGCAGATGAAGCAACAGCAGCACGTTGAAACAAATTATTATTATCGAGCATTGTTATTTAAAAGATAATGTTCACAATTATACACATAAGTAATCACACCCTTCTTCCAACACAAGAAACACTAGACAAACTCAGCACTTTTAGTCTGTTTTCTATTGATAATAATAGAAAAAATGTTATTTGTTTCTCTTTCTCTTTCTCTTTCCGTTATTCGATTATCTACCAATCAGATATATGAGAATAACTCGACTCAACTTTTTCTTCTCTGCGTATTATATTGAAAATAATAAGATCTCAATGACGATAGAACGAAAATTTTTCGATGATTTTAAATCTAACACTTAATGAAATAATTTATATGAGATTATGTTTGTATCTTCATATTTGTTGATGCAATCAGACAGCTATCTATTTTACTTAATTCATATGAGTCGATTGTCTATATATGTTACTTGTTGATCTAATCATCAGTTAAATCAATATTCAATTATGCCAGCTGTATCTTTCACTTTATACCTTATTAAGTGTAAACAAGCTGGATGTCATCTAACAATAAACGAACGATCAATTCATTAAATAAAAGACAAAGAGAATAGAAAAGTGAGATCGTGAGAGAATTAGATAATACACAATACGTCTATCGTTCCAGTTTGATAAGGTGGCAAATGAATAATATGACACATAAGGTACTTTTAAAGAAATATTAAAAATAAGAATCTCCACAGAAATCTGCAAGATAGAGAAAAAAAATAAAACAAATCTATTTGTTTTTTTTTTTGCTTCTTTTTTTTTTTTTTGAGAATCACAACTAACTGTGATCTATATTAACTTGTCTATCGATTTTTCGTTTCTAACAATTGGCAGTTTGTTTTTCTATCACATTTTGACCTGTCGCATGTATAAAACAAGATTTAAAAGAGATGAGTCGTTTTGACAGCATTACATAACAACCTCATGGTAATAATAAATATATGATGCTTGTCTATTTACGCATATGGACTAATTTCTTTTTATTTTCTCTTTTAATAATCAGATGTTCAATATACAACAATACAATTAAGAAAAACGAATCATGAATAAACGATGAGAAAAAATTTGCAGGGCGTTTAGCTTGATCAGGCATTATTAAATAGACTATCTGATGCGACCTTGTATAGATAAAGATCATCACACAGCGATTAATTTTACACCTAATTATAGATATTTTTTCCTTTTTTTTTTTTTCGATCGATGCAACATTCGAAAGTAAAAGTCACACAAATAAATAAGTGTAAGTGTAAAGAGCTAAGACCAATTTTCCAAAATTTAATCAATTAGAATATTATTGATCAAAAGTGCTAAGAGAATCATCATATTTAGGTAGTTTCTTAAAAAACAACCAAAATGAAAAAAAAAAAAATTTTTTTTTTTAGAAGAAGATCAGTTATGTTTTTTATCAATCGATCAGTTTGATGCCGCATCTCTTTGACAAATGTATATGTTGGTAAAATTGGAATCAACAAGTTGCTTGCTGTTTTAAGCTAACTTCACCTTTTTTTTTCTTCGATCAGTTACCGTTGTTGCTGTTTTTAACACTATATTTTACTTTGATCTTGTCGGGTATTAAAGTTGCTTTAAAATAAAAATCTAAAAAGTTTGAAAAATGTGTCAATTTAATCGTTCATTATATCACATGGGTATAAGGGAAGAATAAATGTGGGAAAAAACAATTCTTATTTTCTTTATACATATTTTAAACATAAGAAGTTATCTATCTTGAACAATAAGAATAATTCTAGAATATAAATTTATATATGTATATATATTTCTTTATGTCAAGATGACACTGAAACTTTATTTTTTGAAAAGAAATTTTTCTATGTTTGATTTCATTATTTCAAGTAATAGATCAACTCAATTCCAAATGTATTAAGAAAACTAGACCATTTTTTATGCACAATCGCGTTCTCTCCATGCTCACTGTTTTGCTATTATTACGTCTTATAAGCGAAGCAGACATATTATTGATCTTTCAGTATTATTCGTCCTCCATTCAATGCACCACATGTCTAAAGTAGTCTCATTACGATCGGTTTATCACCTTCGAAGAATAGAGCAGAGAAACAATTGTTAATCGACAACTAAATAAATAGTTAAAACGAATCGTATGCTTAAGAGCGAATATGAGTACAAAAAAATTCTATCTATTTTTTGCTTCTTTCTCATGTCTACAGTCCTAACTTTATATCGAAGTGTTCATTTCGCAGTTACGAACGTCCCCTCAAGCTACTATCATCACCACCAACAAAAATTCACGGATCGATGACTTATTGTCGATCAGCTAGTAGTAGACTTGTTCAAGTAGAGAATTGAATAGAATGAACACTAATTGTAGTGAAGAGACAAAACAAAGAAACGAATGATTGACCGTTTTACATCACATATCAACTTGTTTACTGTATGAGTAAATATTCAACGAAACAAAAAAATGCATTCTTTTTTTTTTTCTACCTTTTAACACCATATGCCATTCTCAGTTGTTTCTGAAACTCGCCGTCTCATATGTGCATTATGAGGTGTTGATATCAGTTGAATGACTGTCGTGTGTCAAGTCAAATGTCGATAGAAACATACTCCTTTCATCTCTAAATGTTTGGCGGGCGCATATATACATATAAGAATTTGTGTGAACAAATTTTACGCCTCACCAAAATAAAATGTCGTTATTATGTAGAAAAGTCTTTCATTTGAATATTTATATTCAGTCAAGAACAATAGTTAGTCCATGAAATGCATTTAGTTCGCTTTGACATATTTAGTTTTAGGTAAAGTTTAACTTTTTCTATTTCAATAAAAAGTTCAAATTTTTATTATTTGAACCTTCAACAAACAACTGTTAGTTTTGGTTTGCTGAAGTCTATCAAATGATATTAAAAAAGCTTATAAACTTTAAATATGTTCAAAATTTAACACTATTTCATAGTTTACAAAAAAAAACAAAACTAGAAGTGAATTGAAGGTCAACGAAATTTCGAAGCTCAACAAGATCATTGTGTATAAAATAAATCTTTCCGATAATTGCTTTATTGCATCGAATTTGGATAAATTTTATAGATATTCTATATACTGAAATAATTGAAAGTTTATATTATTGATATAGAAGAGTCGAAATATAAAGCTCCATTATTTAACATAGATATCGATAAATAAGTCTTTTGGAAGAAACTAGAAGTGAAAATTTTGTTCTTCAGCGTACTCCTAGAGTATGTCAAAGCTATTGTCAAGAACTCGATAGTTATTTCAAGACTACTATTGATTTGTATTACAATATTATTAGTTTAAACTCATCATATAAAAATCTTTTCGATATGGATGCAATAAATCTTGAGATAAATTTGGGTTTGGCGTCAAATCTTTGAGATCTGGCTTTACGTTTGGATTTTTATTCTATGTTTGAATTTGGATTTGTATGTTGTGTTTGGATTCGTAGTCCAGATTTGGCCACAGGTTTGGATTTGCCTTGGAATTTGTGCAAATCTAACAAATAGTTTTGGATTTGTTGAGATATGTATTCAGCATTCTTCAAGGAGCTCATTCACTACAATGAAGTCATTATTAAATAGCTCTTATCGATTGATATAAGTTTAGCAATTCGAAAAGTACTTGCAATGAAAGTATACTACAGTCCATACAAAAAGTTCGTGAGTGTAAGTAATTTTGAATAACTTGAGAATAAAGCGACATAGAAACATGCGATTTTCACCACTATGTAGAGCTTGGAGTACTCTATCGATCCATTGATAGAAGATAAGAAACATAAACTTTTCAGGTAATGTTAATTGTCAATCTTTGAAAGATGTGAATGTAGTTATCTTAAGTTTTATAGTGACTCATGAGTTTTAAATATGGAAAAGATAGTTCAGAGGATCCTCTACTACATGGCAAAAGACCGACTTCTTTACTTATTATGGTTCAACAATGTTATACATTGTTCTGGTGTCTATAAAAGTACTTTTTTGTCCATAAGGTGGACTACAAATATACATATTAAAGTTCGTTGTTGACCATTTTTTGAATTGTAGAAATGACTAGCTTTGGTCTCGAACAAATTTTGTAATTGAAGATGAAGAACTAGACTATGTAGAAAGAGTATGAATTCAAAATATGTGATTAAAATGAAATAAAAAGTGTAATTTTATGATCAGCATATTACAAAATATCACTTATTGATATAAACAAATATTCAACTTTTATATACTATATTCATCTAGTATACGTCGTTTTTGCTACATTGCTGAGTAATCTCAAGATCATTTTGATGTATTGCAATCGTCTTTTTAAAATACCACAATTAAACACCACATGCACTCGTACGTTAACCATTGCAATTATTACTAGTGTTGTTTCCAAGGCTCTCGATAGTTTTGAAAAGTGGGAGAGGCTGAAGATTTGGCAAACATTATTGAATTTTGTCGCAGACACTTGTTAAGAAGTCCATCACAGATTGTCTGGCAAAATTCAGCCAAGATCATGAATAAATTGAGAGATTTCGCGAAGAGCGGCACATTTTCTCACAGATTTCGTGAAAACTGCTGATTTTCTGTTAGGTTCTAGTGAAAAACAAGCTGTCTGCCAGATTTTCTAGGCAGCTAAGAGAAAAATTTCCGAGACAAGCTGGAAAAGTGGAGGCTAGCCCATTTCATCCCCTCCCACATCGTGGGCACTAGTTGTTTGTTCAGAGAGGTATCTTGAACGACTAAACTGTCGAAAAAAAAAGCGAAACAATAACTCTTAGAACTATAACACAACATAGCAAAGACGATGTAAAATAGATGAACACAGTATATGAGAATTAAATATTTGTTTATATCAATAAGTGATACTTTGTAATATGTAAATTTCTTGTTCTTGATAGTGTACAATTTTAGCAGTCTACATGTATACTTTAAAAGAGATAAAATGATGATGTATCGTTTATCTAAAGAGTTTTGAATGAAATAGAATTTAATATTCCTCTGATTAACAACTTGATCAGAGTCGTTTAACAGATGAATATACATTAGAAACCTATGGTACTACAGAGCTGCTAAGACATATACCTAGTGAATACAATGACAGAACACCCCACTCAAACAGTTTTCTAATAGTCTACGCGAACATATAATCTAGTTTGATACCTGATGTTGTAAACAAATGATAAAAATTTTACAGGACTAAGAAGATTACACTACTGAAAAATTATATTCCCAAATCCAAACTGTTTGGATCATTGGAAACCAAAGGAAAATCGAATCCAAACCAAACCCAAACATTAGGTATCAAATTCAAATCCAGAATCCAAATCAAATCCAAATCCAAATTCGAATCGAAACCCCCTAATAGCAAACTCCAAACGTTCGGGTTTGTTGCATCCCTACTTTTCAATAATCAATCTCCATAAGTATTTATGAAAATGATCCCTTTGGTCAATATCTTAAATAGACATTGGAAACTTGTTGATGTGCCTTAATTATTTTGTTATACAATTCGATGTTATGCATTAATTTGGATATTTTTAACAATAAATTAAAAATTTAACTAAAGTCATAAACTTTTAAAAGCAGAAAATTCTTTGAACTGTCTTTACTTTCGATTGTTGACACCATGGGTATTTATAGTAAATCTCTTGAGAGATAGATGTAAGTCTAAACTTTTTTTTTTACATAGGTTCTAAAAAATCATTCAATGTTTTTTCAAAGTGTAGAGTTATATGATTATGATAAAAACTAGATACAGTTAATATTGGAAGTCCAAATAGTACTTATCTATATCGCAACAATTTGGCAAACATTTGTCAAAGAAAATAATAACGAATCGAAACTTCATATACTACAATGAAATAAGATAAATTAAGAAGTCGAGAAATTTTTGAAGAAACAGTTGAAACATTAAGAATAGCTGAACCAACTTATTGAATCAATAACAGTCATGAAAAAATTCGGTCTCAATTACATTAGCTTTGGATTCGTTTCATAATCGGCAGATTCGTTTGACGTAGAATGTTTTTCTCTATCGAAAAATATTTAAAAAATCTTTGATGTTTGAATCCCTTTCAATTGATAATTGCGACTTAATGTCACAATCGGGATATATTGTTCTAGACACGGTTGTTTGCAGATGTATGACAATATAGTCAACACAAGTGTGCCGATGAGATTTTTTCCAGAACACACAATTTAGGAACTCTTTATAATTAGAATATTTTCAAGTTAAAATTTAACGCTTAGCCATTGCTATTTGTCCAAATACTCAGGTTTTCTAGACTCTTCCAATATATGGCATCGGTCGATAGGGAACTTTAACGTCAACAATATGTTAAAAAAGTGATTATGAAAAAAAATGCTATTTCACTTTTTAAATGTAACAGATAAAAAAGTAAATTGATTAGTTATTTTCTTTCAATGCTGTGAATTTGATACAATACAACTGAGATAAACTTTATAACCATGGAAGATGTTCGGAACATAAGGTGCCAACAATCCAAAATTCGAATGAAAGCAATTTGGGTTTTATAGGTTGTTAAATAGAGATTGATGCACTGATCTTGTAAGAGAGTTAAATTTGAGAACACTTGAAGGATGTAAAAATAGGCAAAATCGCTTATTTAAGAAATATTTAAATCTTTTATCAACTTTTTTCAGATACATTTAAAACTATATCTTTTTTCCGTCTTGATATAAACTTGCCAATAAGAGTCATGTTTATCGACTTTAAAGTCAAAGATCTATCCAATATAGACGTGTCAAACAGCCCTCCTAAGGTTCGTCTGTACTAGTGTTCTGTGGGAACGACTTTTTACTATTGTCGTTTTCCATTTGCGTCCCGGAATACTTTCCGAATTCTTGTTACGATTTCATTTTTTGTGTCTGAGAAAATCTATCATTAATAAACAGTGGCGTCTGTCAATGTTGCACTTTGGACAACGTGAGATGGCCTTAGATTAAAAATAAGATGATCACCGGTGACACATTCCCGTAGAATCAATCAATTATTGTTTCTACGTCGAAAGGTATCCGTGTCAAGTTAAGAGAATTACTTTCTTCATCAATTTAACAATTGAAAAGAGAAAAAAATAGTAGCACATGAACAATGTCGATGGAGAAACGAAAACGTCCAAGACGCAAAGATTATAATAAATTTTATATTGTGAGATAATACAAAGTTTGATTTTTTTTGAAGATGCTGATCACAAAGATAAAAAATAGCTGTGATAATTGAATTACAACTTAATGAATAATGAATTAGTTTGTCTGTTTTTTGTTGATAGGTATTGACTATTTTTCTTTTAATTAATAAACGATACAACAGTCTTTCGAAGAATGTCGAAACCTGTTTCTCAACAATGTAACAGCCAGATCGATTTCGACACTGTTTCCTAGAAAAAGCCGAATTTAGAGAGAAAATATATAGATATAAAACAAAACAATTTTCACGAACGTTCACTTTTTGATATCGTTCATGTTTCCATTTCGTGCGGGAAACAGAACGGATAAAATCATTCCTACGAAGCATTAGCAAACACCTAATTTTGCAAACTTATCTATTTCTTTGTACGAAGAGACGAAGTCAGATGTCTTACTTTTTCCTAAGACTTTTCGAAATCGGAGTTTACCAGTATCAATTGAATTTTTAAAGTTTTTCTGTTATTTGTGAAACGAGTGGAACTTTTCAGCTTAAAGGGCCAAAATATGGAAAAATTCACTCAACATTTCACCCATATTGACTATCGCGTGGTCAGAGCAGAGCAAAATAAATGTCATATGTGAAATCAGCTTAAGAATATTTGTATCAGCTAGTAAATCATCTGAGTCTCATGTGTTGTTAAGTTTATCAGATTCTTCGAAGTCATTCTTTGAAATTGTGCTGTCTAACTTATAGGAAGCCAAAGAACAAGTGTTGACTGAATGTTTTAAACGCTCTTGGTCACATGATGATTCCGAATTAATCAATATTGATAAATTTTAAACGATGTATCAAGCAAACAATGCTATACCTATGTATATTAGAATCATGTTTCCTGTTAATGTCTGCCAATCAAGCTCTTGACTCGGAGAACATCCATTCGCTATACACATTTTGGTATTTTTTCTTTTAGTTATGTATAAAATTTGCGGATGCATTCTGTCTTCGCTCAACGTCAATACTGCTTATCGGAGCACGATATTTCGTCAAAGTAAAGTGAAATAACTATGCATCGGTGGAACGATCACAGGTAACAGATTTCGCTTCTCATCGTCCAATAGGTAATTTAACTTATTTCTCATTGAATTCGATGCCAATATCAACATTTTACTGAATCGAAGCTCGACTGATCATTTCCACTATAGCCTCTTTAAGATCAGCGTCGGTCAAAACTTTTTCTAGGATCTCATCATCTCCAATGTTAGTCACAAAAGCTATGCAATTACTATCAAAGGAAAAAGTTTAATTTAGTCAAAGCACAACATTACTCATTACCAATATTGCCTATGGAAATCTTAATTTTATGTGAAACATTTCATTGGAGTTGTCAAGTGTAGTTGCACAACTCAATCGTAAGTATGACACATGCGTAAACATTGCACTCATGGACAGAAGCAAAAATCATGTTCGACTCTACCCTATCTCTCTGGATAATTAGTCATTGATGTTAGAGTATTTTCATTTTCTTTTGAACACATTGTCTGTAGAATACGAAGACAGACCTGACACAAACTATCAACTCGTTCATACGTAAATGAACAAACCTGAGTAGGACATTGTATTGACGAGTTTAGGTGTATTCTATTTGACATTGAATGATTCAATATGAACCATTCATTGGCTTGAGAAAATTAGTTTTTAGTAAGTTTTATACTGTCTAATAATTCATTTAGACGCACTTGAGAATGGCAGTTGATTTACTTAAAAATCAATGTGATTTCTGACTCTGTTTTTTTTGCATTCGAAAAAAAAGTCTGTTATAAATGTCAACATTTGTCTGACATTTCTTTTTCAAATTCTCAAAACATTATTTGTTAATGCTTCCAATGAGTCATAATTGAATTGCGTATATTTTTCCTGCGAAGGGCTCACAATGATGATTTTTCCAGTCTAGAAGTTGACACTTGGTTCGTAATTATAATGACAGAACAGAAAAAAACCCATTCGCATTGTTTATCTAGGAAAAAACCAAGTATATTGAATGAATACTCAAGTGACTCAAGTATTCTCCATCAACCAATATGAATAGCGAAGAACAGAACAATTTTTGAGAACTCCTCATATATATATTTCACTTCCTTGCTTAAATTGGCTACATCTAGATACGAATAAAAAAATAATCTTTTATGACCCAGCTTTTTTTTCATTTGAAACTATAAAAGAAGAACACATGACGCAGATTGATGACATACCCTTCATGCACCATAAAGGGTACCGTCAGAGTATTATTCTCACCTATATTCATGAAACAAATGTAGTCTGTATATAAATAGAAGTGGCAAAATTTTCAATCATCAACCGGTGGGTAGTATAATCCTCAGATCTGCATAATAAAATCCGCAACGAATTTATTTTCATTTGATGAAGAATGAAATAAATACTTTTTTAAAGCAGCATCTGAGTTGAATAAATATTGTAGATAAAACAATCTGCGTTTTCAGAAGTTTTAAAAAATTATAGAAGTACAATGGCATTAGCTTGTATTGGATATCAAAAGAGAGCTGTACCAACACGAATACGGCATAGATCGATTTCTCCATCAACTCCAGAAACGCCAAACAGTAGTGTGACAAAAGAAGAGGAAGAAATCGATTACTCGCCTAGCGTTGAACAGCAAACTGATGGTAAGAACTTAGGAAAACTCTTTTGATCTCGATTAATGATTTTGAAAAAGGTACTAAACTTCAAAGAAAACTTCGCTTGATGGTAAAAGAAATGCGTGATATTCAAGGAAAATATTCCAATGCTTTGAAATCATGGAGCAAGAAATGGACTAGTGCATTCGAACAGAATACATCTTCACTAGTCCATTATGAAACTACAAAGCAAATGTTCGTGTCTCTCAGTTCAATTGGTAATGAGCTGGCCAAAAATATCGATCATTCGCACCGCCAACTTCGGCATGTTTCAAAACTGATTCCAACGGAAGAGCAATATCCATCACGAGAGTCTCAGCTTCAGAAAGCACGTACAGCAGTCAATAGTGTTCGAAGTGATTTAATTGAATATGAGAAAGAATTGAAGGAACTCAAACGTAGTTTAAATAGAATTAAGGATCAATTAAGAGATCCGTCATCAAATAAAGTAGAACAATCGAAATGGAAATCAGAACGAAAAAGTGTAGAAGATAGTATCGAACAAATGAAAGATAATGTTGAATATGCTACAAAAATGTGTGAACGAGCTGAGAAACAATACCATAAAGATACTGTTGCCATATTTGAAAAAAGTCAAGAAGATGAGTTACAGAGACTAAATTCATTGCGAGACACATTAAAGGCTTTTCTTGACGCCCTGGATGTCAAACATGATTCTTGGCAAGAAGCAATAGAAAAACATAATCCAAAACAAGATCTCAAAGTGTGGAAACGAACATTCTTTCCTTCACTAATCAGATTAACAAACACACATTAAAATAGACGCAGCGGGACATTTTGCACACAGTTTTGTCTTTTTTTTTCTTTTTTATTGTTACTCAAGGCTAATAAAATATAGAATGCATTCAAGCAAGGAAAGCCTCTCGATTTTCAACTCATTACAGTCCATGGATAATTCACTTTTTCTCAAATAATCTTCGATCACAATTTTTGTTCGGTACTTAAAAGTCGAAAAAAGCAAGGGTATAAGTATGGATATGAGAGGGATGTGATTGTGAGTGTGAGGATGGGCAGATTATGTTCAGATATACTCATGATCATGCCGATTGTGATTTGTCACTCGTCTTTCAAATTTTTTCCAATAGCAACAGCCAAAAATGAGGAGAAAAGTGAAAAGTGGCTGTAGGCATCGGCGTGAATCAGATTTGGAACCGGTACCAGTTCGTTTGAAATTTTCAAACTGACTCGTAGTTAGAGGTTTTTTTTTTTACTGACTTTTCAATTAAATTTTACAGTATTCAAGCTAGTATATTTTCTCTTGTTCTATTGATTTTGATGATTTGAACGTGGGTGTGGAAGTGGTTATGATCCTGGGTATGGGTTTGATGTAAATGTGATCGTGGGATTAGGTATGAATATGAGCGTATGGGTATTATATTGGCACACAATTCTGAAGACACATACAGAAACCAATAGTCACGTCCACACCTATATTTCCAGCCGATTTCCTATCAATACTACTGTGGAAACAATAATGAAAGTGTTCGTGGATGACCATAGGTGCAACCGAAGGGACGACGTACGTTCCGCATCCACCATCATCGTCCATATTCACACACTTTATTAGCTAATAAGTACAACCACTGTTAATTGAGTGTAATAAGATTAAAAATTGATTTAAATTTTGAATATGGGCATAGCGTATTAATGTTTGCTAGTACTATTTTTATATAATATCTTACCGTGTTCATATGTGGTTCCTCGTATGTAGTAATTCGTGTTGATTTGATTATTGAATTTGATGTAGCCGATGAGTTTGTTTGTATATATAAAAAAAAAGAACATTGTGCAAGTTCATCGTTTTTGTATGATTCAATGATGCCACATCAAAGCAGTTGAATCTGAATGAGATAAAAAGATATTTCCATTTGATTTACTCTTCAATATCTTTGATGTATTTACCTGCATTAATAAAACAACAAGTTTTAGTTTAATAAACTTCGATGAATCAAAGATATTTTTGAGTGAAATAGCTTGCAATTTCCGGCTGTCCTCATGCGAATTTAACTGCTTTGATGTCAGGATACTTAAGTAGGGCTGGACACACATTCTCTATATGTCATATGAATTGTATTAAAATATTGAGATTGCTATAATTTTGTTGAAGAATATGGTGTTTACCGTTATTGTATAAAGATTTGCGAGTTGACATTCGTCGAAACATAGAACAAGGGGTTTCGAATAAAAAAATAGCATAAAAACAGAAATAAGTTAATAATAAAAATACTGAAGTTTACAAAATAACAAAAATAGATGACACCCACACCCTGTCTTCACTGGTAAAATAATGCATGTTCAATGCCGCATTCAATCGACATGCATTTGTCATCTATTATTTTGATCTATCAATCAGAACGAAGAACTTGCCACTAAAATGTAGTAAAAGCGCATGCTTCTAGTACATTCAGCGAAACAAATAATCGCCTATCTTGCCTAAAAAAATGTATCAATCTTTTTCGAAATTTATTGACAAGGTATTTATTATTCTAGAGAACTTACTTTGTCAATTAATCTTTTAAAAACTATACTCTCGCTATTCGTATCTTTCAATCTGTATTTTGAAGTAATCCATAGTGTGTTACATCAAGTAATGTCTTTATTAATGTTTATCGCTTGACTTCATGAAGGCACATTCATCATTTTAATTAGCAGATTAAGTTCTTTTTCTATTGGTACATGAAAGTGAATTGATCTTACAAAAGTGCATCAAACATGAATTAAATTTTCAGTTAATGAAGTTCATTAATTCGATTTAGAATTTTCAATGTCGACAAGGTCTATGAAAAGGCTATCGAAATACTATACCAGTTTTGTTTAGATCTAGGACAGTTTCCAGTTTTATGAACTTCCTAAGACCTGGGTGAAGTGGCCAGTTCTTTTTCGAGAACTGGGCACAGTGAAAAATTCTTTTTTCGAGACCTAGGTATAGTGATGAGTTCTTTTTTGGGAGCTGTGCCTTGGAGCACTTCTATTTTTATAAGTCACTTTAGGAGCTAGCTCGTTTTTTGAAAATCGAGCCCTTCTGTTCTAGCATTATTATCCGTTTAGCTTCATTCCAGCATATTTGTGCAGTTGACAAACATGGTTTAGAATGGACTAATTACAAATCTAATGACAAGCTTAAAATGAGATATTTGATAGAATCAACTCATTCAAAAGTAACTGTTATATAGATCAGCGTAGCTCAAAGAACTGTTGAGACAGATGAATTGATATTAGGTGTGCGACAGCTCCAGTTTCACAGCTCTCAAGAGCTCCATCGGACAGTTGGTGAAGAACTCCTAGGAGCTGCGGTTGATCAACAGGTTATGCAAGGCTGCTTATAGGATTACTCTTAGGTCATAGAGAGCTACCCTATCAGGATATCCTTAGTTAGTCGACAACTATTTCTATTGACCAATCAAATTCAAGGAAGTTCTTGCTCCACTATTGTAAAGACAAAGCATACTTTTATTCGAATCACAAAAAAGAGGATCACGGTTAACCGGTTGATTCCCTCGAGCAACACTATGATTTCTCTTAACAACAGCGAAAAAAGAGCTTCATGAAATATGATTGCTTGATTGAGGACCAATCAGATTTCAGCGCGGGTTTTTCCACTATTGTAAGGACAAAACATAGTATTGTTCGGACCGATCAGAGAGTTATCCGGGCCTTCTTTCTTAAGGCCCGAATAACAGTATGCGTTGTCCTTACAATTGCGAAGAAACAGCTCTGTTGAATCTGATTAGTTGATAGAAAAAACTCTCGTCCAACTACGGATATCCCTTAGGATAGACCATGAAGATCTAAAGGTACCCACATAGGATAGCTGTCATGAAAAGAATTGATAGGAACAGATCAGTTTCTATCAAAGAACTATTGGAACAGTTCTTAAGATCCGAACTGATATGGAACTGTCCTAAGTCTAGCTTCGTTCATTCGTCGAATTTGATTACCTTCCGTTAGTTACTTAATGTTGTTTCTCGATATATCGATGTTATCTGACTATTGAAAAATAATAAGTCTACGGCTCAATCGACTGGATATTTTAATCAGATAAAACGATTGTCATATAACTTGATTTCTATGCATTTCAATTAAACTATTTGGAAAGACAATATTTAATATCTGTACATACTAGCTTCTCAAATAATTTTCAGGTGCGATCTAACTATTCATATACTTATCATAAACCAAAGAAAAAAAAGCTGAAAGTTTGATTGTTCTTGATTACTTTCGGTTTTTCACTATCACATAATAAATTCAAATTCTTTCTGATAATGTTATAAATTTTCATCCTTAAACAGAATAGCAATCATGGTTTTGCTAGTAGATTGATCACAGTTAAAGTACAAGCACTAGATACAAAAATATAATAAAAACTAGTATCACATTCTCAAAGAGAGACATAGAGCATTCGTAAGACTTTGATTATAATTAATCTACTCAACAGTACATACAATTTTCTAGATAACACAGACTTTTTTCGTTTAGTCACATAGAATAATATAAGTTTCTAAAATCGAATTCTCTAAAAACATTTTGTTGAAATATCGCAGTTTTTCTGTATTTCTATAGAAACCATTTATTTTACAACAGATTCATTCTGAGAGAGGTGCTTAAACTTCGAATAAAAAATATTATAGCCAAAAGTTCTTAATCAAACTATTTTTATTTTGTAAGTTCGATATTATATGAGTACTTCTGCTCTTGAAGACCAAGGGCAAATATCGTTTACGTATGATGGCCTACGTAAAGTACATCGGTCAACGTTTTCTGTCCGAAAAGCTTCTTTGTTTTTCTAGTGCACAATTTAAGACTTCAGGAACGCTTTACAACTGCGTTTTAGTGTATATCCTTGTAAATGCTGTCATAGGCAATAAGAATGTGATTATTTCTGAACATGAGAGTGGAGCACAATCGAAAACAGTTCGTAACTATTTTCATGTATATAGAATGCAAAAAATGATCTATAAATTTTTCGATTCTTTTTGTATTGTGCTCGCTTGTTATTTTTTCAAATCAAAACATTTGAAGTAGCATAGAAATGTATTTTGTGCTTTTCAGTTCGGGCAATAATGGACTCGCACGTAATGTTATTATTTGTTGTTCGTTTCTTACACGAACCATTCGCTCGACTTGTTGCTGGTAACCATTAACAAGGGAGTGTTCTTCGAGCAAAATCAACAAGTGAACAACAACTATTCGAAAGAGCTTCTTTGTTTGCCTCTTCTTTATTGCGCTCTACAACAAACATAGTCTGTTAATTAAAGCAAATTGTTCGAAGGGAGTATATTCATCTACATTAGGTAAAATTGAGGCTAATAACATATTTTCTTGATTTGTTGAGAGTAAAATTGAGCAGTTTCCAAAACTTCACATATGAGCCATTGACAGAGGTATAGCTGTATGCATACATATTTTCAAAACTTCTCTACCAAAATACGCCATTTATTGGAGTAAAAGTAAGAAATTATTTGTTTTGATGCAATCACATCTCTCTTGTAAAAGACATTAATCATAGCACATATGATACCTTTGTATGACTGTGGACGAAAATGATCTACTTGTTCGAGATACGTTTAGGATTCTGTAGATTTTTTCACTTCCTGACAGATAGAGCCCCTTTTGTCCATGGTGAACCAAAAGTCACTTGGTCACCCGAAAACTTGAATATTAGTACCATAGCTTGAGCAAATGTACTATTTTTTACTGATGATAAAGGAATGTTCATAGCTCACGTTCATGAGGATAAATATCGAAAAGAACCGTTTTCGAAATATCATTGTTAGCTTCAGAAAAAGCCTCTGTCCTCTCATAGACAGTGAAAAATAATAGTGCAAATGAATGCCTTGTCTTTAGCTACATTCTCACTCATATCTACTCCCTTTTACATCTTTAGTTATATAAGATTAGAAAAAAACGTTATATGCTTTACAGAAGATGACGAATGAAAGACGTGTTAAATAATGTTGGAAGAAATGATATTATGGAAGCGTACAGAAAGTACGAGTTCGGATCTGTGCAGCTGCAAATAAAAGAAAAACAACCATATCACACACATTACCCATATGGGCTACGTGAACAGATAGAGGGCAGAAAGGAAGAAGTCATATCTAAATGATATTCTAAAAGCATATAATATCTAAAACGTTGATTGAATTATTAACGCTTTGTTTTGACAAAATGACTTTCGTTCGCTGTGCAGCTTTTTCGGAACTTATAAGAGTAGGAAAATTTCTTTGTCGAAGCCAATAAATACATTTCAAAACGGTTCTTTTCAATCTTTTCCGGCGTAGATATAAACTATAAAAAATCTTTTATCATTAATTAAAAATATCAGCCCAATCGGCTAAGCTATGGTGGACATATACAAATTTCTTGTATGGTAAAATGGCTATGGATCCACCTTGTCTGCTAGAATTCAATCAATAGAAGTACTTGGCCATTCTTAGGAGTGCCCAGATGTTTGCCTTCAGAAATTGAAAGATATTTGCGGCTTTGAGCGTGATCTTTGACGAGGTCTATAGAACGTGATAGACTGAAACCGTGTTTCGTTCATGCTTTTTTACAGAACAGTTGAAGAAAATTCGCATGCTCTGACTTAAAAATAAATTTTCTGATTGCTGACTTTCGTAAATCCCATGTATTTCAAAAGGAGTTCATTCTAAGAGCAGTATGAATATGTTCATTTGTTGTTGAAACGCGTTTCTTTTAGATAATCTTCTTTTTAAAGATGATCAATTTTCCGATTCCGCCGAATATTGTACTTCCAGCTAACATCACATATACATTACCCAATTTTCGACCTGGAGATAATCAGACGTTTGACCGTGTGGTTGGTTCTCTGGTGGGTTTGACAGTTGGTGATGCCCTTGGAGCAAGCGTGAAATATCGTCCTCGGCAATATCTTCTAAGTTATCCAGTGCGTGACATGCAAGCTGGTGGTAGCCGAGGTCTCAAAGCCGGTCAATGGACAGACAACACATCAATGGCACTTTGCTTGGCTTCATCGCTGCTGACGCAACGAGGCTTTAATCCTTATGATCAAATGGTACGGTACCTTTGGTGGTACAAATATGGATATCTTTCGTCCACAGGGTACTGCTTTGATATTGGTAATACAACACGTGATGCATTAGAAGAATTTGCACGACGTCAACATATTCTCAAAAGATACTATCGTATTACAGCCGACTCCGAAATCGATCGTCTTCCATTGAGCCATGTAACCAGAGTAACTGAATTCGATGTCAATTGTGGCATGCCAGGTGTGACAACAAATAGCGCTCTTGTTCGTCTGGCTTCTGTACCACTTTTCTACTATCGACATCCGGAAACCGCTGTGGAACTTGCAGGTCAAAGTGCACGTCTAACTCATGGTGATCCAAGAGCAATCGATGCTTGTCGCTATTTGGGTGCACTGATCGTAGCTACAATTCGTGGCGAATCGAAGAATTCTCTTCTTAGTAACGACTTTTATCGTGCTCATCAAACATGGTTTGGATCTAATGGACTTCATGAAGAAGTATATCGTGTCAGCCTTGGATCTTATAAACAAGTACAAGGTTATAATGGTAGTATTCGAGGTGGAAACTACATTATCAAAGCATTGGAAGCTGCGCTTTGGGCGTTTTGGAGCGATGAAAGTTCGTTTCAAACTGGTGTTCTCAATGCAGTCAATCTGGGTGATGATACAGATTCAACAGCAGCTATCTACGGTCAGTTGGCTGGTGCTTATTATGGACGATCCGCTATTCCTATACATTGGATTAAACAGCTGTATGCAGCACCACTGATTGAGTGCATCGGTCAATGGCTTTATATCGAAGCTTACCAGAGTAGCACTCAAAATCGACAACCTGTCGCTGCACCAATGACATTCCGCACGCCGATGCAGATGCAGCCATCTATACCAGGAGCCACTCCACGGGATTTTGTCCAAAATGATCAACTACGTGAGACACAACAGAAAAAATTTGATATCTCACGTGCTAGTGTCGAGTATTTAAATCCATACCGAGCATGGCGATATCTGCCTTCACCTCTAGATATGGCTGCTGGTTTACCAAGCGATTATAATCTGCCGAAACCGATACCTTCAACATCGGAAGAATGGTTGACCTTCCCCCAAGCACGATTCAAATATACTAACTAATATGACACCACGTTCATGTTGAACTATAGTGAACTTTTGTGAGAACGATTTTTTCCTGTTTCAAATCATTCGTGTGACATTCATATACACAATGGAAGTTTTCATTGAGAATAGATAAACATAATTCATAATCATCAATAGTTCATGTTCTTTTATTGAGAAACCATCTGAAAAACGATAAGTTTATGTTTAGAGCACAGTTTAACAGTGTAGATTTTCCAAAGACGACTTGTGCTTATAAACAATCGTCAAAAATGCATACTATCTCTCAATAGACCAGAATTCTAGTTAATCTTATCGAAGAGGAAAAAAACTTTTGCATATGCAGAGGGAAGAAGAAAATGACCGAAATGAAACATCTCAGTTAACGCTTGTTCAAAGATTCATAGCTTTGTAATGAGGCCCATTGCGTGATTTCCTATTGACAAGTCTTTTATTGCACGCTGCAAGGATAAGCCCGGTCCAATTTACAACTTTTCAAACCGATTTTGATCTTGGTTCGATCTTTAGTCGAAACGATGCATTTTGAATCAGTATTTGATATGAGAAAGAAGCAAAATGAATCAAAAAACAGGTAAGTAACAATGAAAATATTGGTATCTTTTTGTCTACGTCAACCAAAGTGAAGCAGAACGTCAGCAAACCATTTGTATCTGTTTTGAACATAACCAATCTATGCAGTCATAAATTTAATCAAAGTCAACATCGTATAAATTGTTCCCATTATGAACACGAATAAAGTAAAAGTAAACCCTAACTAACAGATAACATGGATTTATATATGTCTATATATATGATTACACGACATTTGCGCGCGTGACATTTGCGCGCCGACACTTGCGCGCCGACACTTGCGCGCACGACACTTGCGCGCGCGACACTTACGCGCGTAACATTTGCGCGCAAAATGATTTCTTTTCATGGAATGAGTCTGCGTTTGGGTTTGAGTGTGATGATGTCGGAAAGTGGGTGCCACTGCAATGGGAAAGCAGTAGTTCGAGACAATCCTTTATGCATCTTCACTACCCTAGGGAAAATCTTTGATGTTTCTGTGTCTGATCCTTAACGAATCCAATCAGGATCCTTCAATGATTCGCTGTTTCTTTTCTGAGGAAATGACTAAATCCTGAAAGAAGCGTATAGCCACAGAATTTCAAGATCCTGGTAGTATTCCTAGCAAGATCCAATCAGGATTCTGAACAGATTGCGTCCGAAGTGCATCAAATCTTGAAAGAATCATCTCTATTATTCCTGTGAAGATACTAAGCAGGATTAAGCTTGAATCCGTGTAGGATCCTGCATCCATGATTTAGAAAAATAGCTTGATAGGAACCTGGATAGATCCTAAACAGGACCCTGCCTAACCCTGAGAAGGTCAAGAAAAGTGAGCTCCGCATGTAAACTCCAAATTTGGAGCTCACTTTTCTTCTCAATCCTTCTGTTATGATTTGTGGCACCACCTAGAGTACTAGTAGCATTACCTTGAATACCAGAGGCATTTCCTGGGATCCCACTAATAATACCTAGGATGCTAATATCGATTCTCTCGGATGCTATGGGCATCATCTGGGATGCTAGAGGCTTTGGCTGGGATGCTGGAGGCATTGCCTGGGATGCTATGAGCATGACCGAAAATGCTACTAACGTCGTAGGTAATGCCTCTAGGATCCCCGGTAATGGCTCTAGCATCCCAGAAATTGCTTCTAGCATCCTAGAGAATGCCTCTACCATCCCAGTGACTGCTACTAGCATCTCAGAGAACAATACTAGAACTCCAGGAAATGCTACTAGCATTCCAGAAAATGCTTCAGCATCCCAGGAAATGCTACTAGCATTCCAGAGAATGCTTTCGCCTCGTACTGAATGCTAGTAGCAGCCCAGGGAACGCTACCAGCATCACAGACGATGATTCTAGCATCTCAGATGATGCTATTAGCATCGGAGGAAATGCAAGTAGCATCCCAGAAAATGCTACTAGCATTCTAGATGGTGCTATGAATCATAGCAGAGGGACTGAGAAGAAAATGGGCTCGAAATTTAGACTTTACGCAATTTGGAGTTTACACAGTTTGGAGCCCACGTTTCTTGACCCCGTGCGAAACCCTGGAAAAACGAATTATCAAGAAGTGCGGCAGGATCTTGTAGAAAACCTGACAAGATCCGTGAAGTCAAGGATCCTGAAAGATTCTTCCAGAATTCCTCAATGAATGATTGGAATTGAGACTACGGTAATACTTAATCCTCACAGCCACACGCACAGCCAGCATCTATTTTCTAAGCAATATCCGTAGTCATATCCAATCCAGACCGAAGTCAAGCGCAGAACAAATCATTTTGCGCGCAACTGTCGCGCGCGCAAGTGTCGTGCGCGCAAGTGTCGTGCGCGCAAATGTCGGCGCGCAAGTGTCGGCGCGCAAATGTCGCGCGCGCAAATGTCGTGTCACGCTATATATATAGTAAACTGTTCCTATTATGATAGAACATAATCCAGAATGTTCTATCATATCAAAGCAGGCAAATATTCCAGAAGAACTATTTATTTGATTCTTCTTATTTACGGATAATTTAAAGTGTTTCCTATAGAAAACGGTGATAAATTTAAAAATTTGTAGAGATTTTTCAACATAAAAAAGATATAGAAGTCATTTTAGTTCCAATCTAAATAAATTTTCAGTGAATAGTTCCAAATATTTGATTAGATATATTAATTAAAATAACAATTTCTTAATTAAATAAATGGTAAGCATCAGAACTGCTAACAGGGTGAAAATTTTTCACCTGTGTCCTGTCCTGACCTGTTCCACGGTTGTTCTATCCTGCTCTTTGATAAATAACGTGACTGAGTAGCAACATTCTCTGAAAATATTTGTGAATAATTGAATGTATTATAGTCTTTCTTTATCTATTCCCTTTCAAAAATACTGTAACATATACTGAATGAAAATATTTTCTTTTTACCCTAACCAATGATAGTTTCACGCAAAAAAACACATGAAGAACAAAACCAAAAATCAATTATAAGTGACTAGAGCGCAAGTCACATGAAAAAAATTTCACAACAAATTAGTTTCAAATCAATTTCTTTCTCATTACTAAAACTAGATTAAAGTGCACTATTTCAATCCAATTAAAATCGATTTTTTTCAGTCAAAAAAGTGGATCACTCCAATTTTTCAGATTTTGTCATATAGATTTTCATCGATTAAAAATTACTATTCCCTTTTTTTAAACTAATTTTAGACAATGATGCAGAAGCAGATTGGGTGGTACCACTTGAAAGTGAAACAACATTTAAGAAGATATATTCGAAAACAACAATGAAAAAGTAGATATAGTAACCTAACTTATATGTAGAATGACATTATATTCCATCAAACAAAGATTAATGGTTCAATCGACTCACATTAAAATACTTTGCTGAATTCATAATCCAATCGAAATATTCCACTAGAATTTCGTCTCTACAAAGGATAGTCAGCAGCAACATCCTTTAGATTTACTATTTCGAATGAGAGTAGACAATTTTCAGTACGATTCTTACAAGACAAGTAATTGAAACATTATCCTGTCCTGTCTTGTAAAAAGATTTTGCAACTACCCTGTCCTGTCAAAAGTTTAGAAATTGTCCTATCGCCCTACCTTGTCCTGTAGTATCCTGCAGGGTACCCTGTCCTATTAGGAGCCCTGGTAGCTGACAAATAAAGTAGGTACATTGATTATCGAGTGATGCATTTATTGTAGCAATAGTTAAATGTATTTTTTTTTGATAAATTGTTTAAAATAATATCAAAGAATTCATCTTTATTTTGTTTTTACATTAATAAATAATTCTTACATAATGATCCTTGAATATTTTGACTATTTCAACGACATTCAGTAGATGAATACATACAATCATCAACAACACATTGTAACCAATTACTATCGCTTTGCTTTTTTATTTGTTGAAAAGCTTTCTTAACACAAGAATATTATATCCTCATTTCAATTCAATGCAAGGACATACTTGAATGATGAACTGATGTTTTGTATTCTAAGATGTCGACTATAACTGGGCAATAAGTAATGCTCGACTACTTTAAGATGAAAATATTCAAATAGAAAAAATAACAGTCATCTTAGTTTCCTCTTGTGTTGATATGTTGACATCAACTTTAGTGAAAATCATAATGACACAATATTACTCTTGCTTCTATTCATCGCTCTTCAATATAAACTTGTGTTGTCTGTGACATAGTCTGACTCTGGAGATAAGAAGTAGCTGAATGATCATTATGATTAACAGTGAGAGTATGCTACACCTCTGGTTGTCTTTAAAAGGATATTTTATTAATATTCACTCAGAAGAAAACCTCGTGACTTATACGAAGTAAATCTTAAGTGCCCTGATAATTATTTAGTCCTTGATCATGATAATATGCAACATAACGCCTCTATTGACTATCTTCCATTTTTCTCTTTAATTTAGTTTACATAATTTTGTTTCTTCGAATATTCTGAATACAACGAGAATATATCATTATGATATCCTTTTTCAAGGCTGCTCAATACGATGTTAATGCAAATATATTTTATCAAAGAAGTATTGATTACTTCATGACTTATCTACGTCAAGTAGTAAGAAAAACAAAGATTTATACTAAGATAACTATGTTGATGCACAATAGAATCATATATATATAGTATTTCTTCGTTGTTCTGATCGAATCGTGTGTCTTATCAATGGCTGTTAATTTTTATCTAAAAGCAAACATGCTGCGAATTTTATTTCTTTCATTTGTTCACGTAACTCACTTCCACACGCCTCTGTGTCAATATTCTATTTGTAAAAAATTCATTTCTTGGAATGAAGACAGAACAGTTTTCCATTTACGAAAGAAGAACTAAACATCTCTAATTTAAAGTTGAATTTCATTTTCTCATTGTACAGATAATGGAGTTTATTTCAAATGCGACCAAGGAATTGATGGGAAAACTCGAATCCATAATCATATTGTTCA